CCGCGGCACGTCGGCGCTACGACCCTTCGCGTTGCGTGCCAAGTCAAGAGTAGGTGAGTTGCCGGCTAGTAGTAGTAGATCACTTCGGACATACGACTTGGGCAGCCAAAGGCTACGCTTGGTCAAGCAGAAGCTGCGAGCACGAGCCACCCGACACACATTCTGGGTCAGTCCTCTGTGACCACAGTCAGAGTTGTACTCGTGATTTGCGAATGCCGTACGTCGCCATCCGGCCAGCAACTTCCACATAGCCATGCAACAGCCGTGTGCTCAGCCGCGGTCCCCACACGTTTATCTCACTCAAATTGACAAGAAGCCATCCCTCTGCCGTCGGGTCGGCAAACGCGCCGCTTGGGCCGCAAGACCCGCAAGATGGTTTCGAGTGGTTTGGGATTCACGATTCACGATTGCATTTCAGCGACAGCTTTGTCGGGTGATGCTTCGCAAGAATGAATCGCTTCACGCACTCGACAATGGCCCGTAGGTGTAGTCGCGCGGACCTGTGATTGATTCCTCACAAGCAATGATACTAGCTACTACTTGTTCCTTATAGATGGAAATGATGAGGCACTCTAACTCTTGCCTCGCGCACGTTGTGAGGACGCAGCAGCTACCGCTTCGGCCCTGAGGTCAATGCGCGTCATGGTCCCGCTAGTCCTCGAATATGATTCCGCAGCCAACAGATGCTGGGGACAGCATGCACGGCTGCAATTTTGACCATGTAGAAAGAGTTCAGCCGTGCGCCAAGGCACCATCAATGCTGTGAGGACAACGCTTGGCCGTCGATCGTCGCATCCGTGTGCTTTCCTGCATCGGATGCATGGGTGCTGAGGCCTGTGCCGATACGAGCGATGGGAGCCTCTGAGTCCGCGCCTCCTGCCGCCTGCCGGTGGTGGTGGGCTTCTCCGCACCTGTCTACTGACGCTTGCGTGTCAGGAGTCAGCAGGAGTGTAGTCGACGGGTCTCGTCTGGGGTGCTCCAAGCTGCGGATCAGGTGCAGTGCTTTGCGGCATCGGCTACTCGTCTCGCTGAAAGCGCGCCACCGCTGGGCGCAACAGTGCCCTAGCCAGAGTCAGCGGTCGAGAGCACAGCGCTCAAGTCGCATTCGAGAGACACACTTGCGAAAAGTCTCATCCTGATGCTGGGAAATGTGATCTTCGTGTCCCGTGAGATCGCCTGTCGGTACCGATTAGGGTCAGTGCCTATCGCTAGAGGATTTGGTCCTCCTTGCGGCAAGCGCAGTCAATGTTGGCTCGATTGTGTGGTGCCAGGAGTCAAACCTATTAGGCGCGAGGAGTGCATTTTCCCCGAAGATGCCTCAAGGCAGTACGGAGGCCTCTCTATTTCGTGGGCGGCACGCAAAGCGCACCATCTGTGATGACGAATGTGCGATCTTTGCACTTGGAAGTTTTTTT